TGGCGGTCCCTTCCCGCCCCTGCCCGGTGCAGGGCCTTGGGCCGGGCATCCCCCCCGCCGCCCTCCCCACAGCGCGGCCCTTAATTGCCCCCGCGGGATTAATCAGCGGGGAACACGGGTTTGGTTCAGCTTCGCCATGTATTTGTGGTGAGAACAAGCAGCACAATGCTTTTACAGCGCGGGGGGAGGCACGGAGATAGGCGCGCACAAGGTGGTCTGCCCGTTCGCCCGCACTGGTGCCGCGTTGGCTTTGCCTCTGCAAAACGCTCGTCTCCTTCTACTCATTCGCTGCACTCAGGCGGGCACCGGCCTGCTTGCATGAAGACGTACTGGTTTACATCGCAGTGATACTTTTTCCTTCGTTTTTTCAATTCTTTCATATTTATTTTTGAGGAAATACAACTGCCACAGTAATAAACACACATCACCTTGTACAGTGGGAGCAGCGGGAGAAACAATGGGGGCCGGGCAGCTCCTCTTGCACAGCGGCGAGCGCAGCCCCAGCCTGGTTGCAAGCACAACACATCACACATCCTCGGGGGTCGCCTCCTTATCTTGCCTAAAGCGCCGTCTGCGTCGGCTCCATCTGAACGGAGTTGTGCTCCTCCATGGTCACTGTGCCGTATGAAGTATCAGCCACCTCCTCTTCTTTCAGTTTCTTGTAGGAAATATCTGTGTCTTCCTCTTCACTAAGCGTATCTTGTTTGTAGCTGTCTCTCCCATACATCTTGTATGCCAGCACAAACAGTCCTGCTTCTGCCGACTGAAAAAGCGCATAAAGCAAGGGAAACATGTACATGCTCCCTATGAGCTCCGGGGGGAAGGTGAGTTTTAGGATGGCGGTGCAGAGCTGGACGTTTTGGCACCCTGTTTCCAAAGACACTGTTCTCCTGCAGTGTGGGGGCATTTTAAAGACCGTGGCTAAGCCGTATCCCAAGGCGTACCCCGCTAGAGGCATCAGCACCGCAATGGCGTACACAGATGCAGGAATATGTGCCATCAGATCTGGGCCCAGCATGGTCCCAGTCAGGATGAACAGGATCACCACAGTCACCAAGAGGGACCACAGGGAAATCTGGCAACAGATACAGACGTTGACAAACAGCACAAGGGTTATTATTTTAAAAGGATAAGCACAGCGGGTGGGGGCTTGATAGAGAGTCTAAACCGCAAATGTGGTTGCGCTGCCCTTCCCGGGTTTGCTCCTGGCTCAGGACTTTGGTGGTGTTTGATTGGGAAAGGAAAGGGCTGAGATGGCCCTCCATCATTTTGCTTTGGGGTGACTTCCTGGGGAACTAGAGAGCCAGGGCTTGTGCTTCACTTTTCCTCTCGTAATTAAGCTAATTTGCATGGTTTAAGGAAGTGTCGCAGTGCCCGCGGGTTGGTTTTGCTAGCCCTGGGAATGCGTGTGTGTGTGTATGTGTGTAGCCTGCCCTTTCCCTTGCTTTCTGCCTCTGTCCCGCTGCTTTATCTCAAGACTGTAAGTCCTTACATTCCACCTAAGTAGTGGAGTAAGCCCGTGTGAAGCTACCATCGGTTCGGAGGGGCCGGAAAGGTTCCTGCCGTCGGACCGCGCCGTCCCCGGTGCCGACCCCGGGCATCCCCCGTGTCCCCGTCTCCGTCCCCGGCGCCGTGCCTACCTTAACGAGGAGGTCGGCGGCGCGGGGGTGCCGGTACCGGATGAGCACCTTTTTGGGTGCTGCCCAGCGTCAGGCTCACGGCCCCCAGGGGCAGGAGCTGCACCAGGGCCGTGTTGATCCAGTGGCGGCTGTAGACCCAGAGGCAGAGGGGCATCAGGAAGAGGGCCAGCAGCGTGGAGGAGGCCGTCATGATAATGCTGCGCCGGGGGAACCA